GTATAAAGTTTAAAAAAGCCGTTAAATAGTAACACAAAATGATAGGAACAAAGTGTAATTGTAAAGAAAAGAAGCATTTTAGTGTAAATAATGTGTAACATATTATCACTTTTAATTAGTTAGTTTTAGTTAAGTGCGATTATATTAAAACTCAAAGTGGTTTACAAATTTACAATAAGTACCGTATAATCCCGGTTACAAGTACCTATTTTTTGGTAATGTTGTAGCCAGAGGGGGAGATTAAAGGGGGGTTCAAAAATCTCTCCATCGACTAAGAAAGTTTTTTTTTATGTTGCTTGCTGAGAAACTATTACTGTTTAGCACAGACAGCGCAGTAGAAATAGCAATCTGCTGCAAAAATGTTTGCACCACATTCACTTATTTTTTTGTAATAATTAACAAACTACATCATAAAATCATGTGGTAGATAAAAATAACCCTGCCGCACTTATTTATTTTTTAATGTAAATAAAAAAACTTGACAATCTCCTATTGCAATTTGTAAAATCTCATCGAAATCGGAGTCCAAGATAAGGGCATATATGTAGATAGACTACATCAACCTTAAAAAAGGCAGATTTTCTATATTACAGACACGCTTTAATTTTATTCATATGTATTTATATTTACATACTTATATAGACAAATACAAAACCATTTTTTTGATGAACATCTTGTACCTATGTCTAAAAGAATGAGTGGATATAAACAGGAGCGAATCGTGAATTTGTAGGGGCCTGGGCCAATACTATTTATATAGGGACCTACCTAAATCACTTAACCAACTGTCATTCTATCAAAAAACTATTGATGTAGGAGTACTTACGGTATAGAAAAAAATAGGGCAATAAAATATTTTAACACAGTTGTAACAATAACAAAGTCAATCTATCACTTTGACGATTAGAATAGAAATCCGAAAATAAAAACAAAATTACTTTGGAAGTGAGAACTTCCCGTAATAGACGCACACGTGAGAAAATATACCGACCAAAAACAAGCGAAGGGGAATTCCCCGTTCCATTCAATCCATTCAATAGACGGGCTGATTTGATAGTAAGATTGCCAACTTTATGATCGGATTTTTTTAATTTTAATTATTTTTTTTTTACAATATCGTCTATTGTTTTCAATCGAGGGGGACTTTTCGTATCCACTGGGCTCTGGGCAGCCCAAAAAATACTTAAGTAGATCCACACCTGGATATAGACTTAAAATTGAGAGCGTACAAAATTACGTACTCTTTAGCTTTAGCTTTTGAAGACGACAAAATTTATTCACGTGGCAACTAGCTATTGGAAAATAATGAAGATTCAACCATGCGAAAAGGTTTAATGTTTTACAGAAGTCAGAGAAGCGTGACAGAAGAAAGTTGACAAGATTAGTGATCGAATAATAATGTTACTCCTGCAAATTACAAGATAATATCGGAATATTATACAAAGTTTCAATAATAAAAATTGTTCTGTATATTGTTAAGTACCTACTGTTTATTAAAAGCGTTTAATTGAAAACAATACTTCTTTTTCAAATAAATTAATTCGATACAGATAAAGGTGTTTTTAACCACATGCCCACAGTTATATTATATTAAAATAATTTTGGGTTGTTAAAGAATCTTTAAACCATTTCAGTTTTTTTTGTGAAAAAGTATTGTACGTGTATTTTGGCCTTCTTGATTCATTTAAAATTACACCAATTTTTAGTTTGACACCATAAGTCCAGAAAAAATTAACCATTACAAGGAACAAGTTTATATTAACATTACCTATAAATTATAGGTAATGTTAATGTAAACTAAATTATATTTATTATAGGCTATAATAAATATAATGGTTCAACTTCTGTAATTAATGATATCGTAGACAGAAAAGGTTAAATTGAGAAGGTATTAGAAAGAGCACGAGAATAGACGACGCTGTGGAAATAAATAATAAACGGGCGATATAGATTGGTG